TAGCAATTTAGGATCAAATAAAGACAGGAACAAACAAGGGGAGGGAGGGAGGGAGAGAGAGAGAGAGAGAGAGAGAGAGAGAGAGAGAGAGAGAGAATTCATCTGCCTCCCAGAATAATAAAGGCCACCCACTGCAATAAAAGCAACCTGTATAGCATTTTCTTATACCACACAACTCAATGACAACTCTGCTTATCTCTGACTCTTAGACAACCAATCCAGTGTTTTCATTTCCCATCAGGTGGATGTTAGGAACATAAGTGGTCTGGTGATTTACCCAGTAAGGAGCCACCTTTAAATCCCTAGTTACATGATTATATGATCAACAAACGATAGACATTTGTTAATCTCCAAAAGCCATGGATTTGACAGTTTTGTTTATCTTGACATTTATTGAGCACCAATTGTGTTCTGGGGGTTTCCAGTGCTGGGCATCCAGTCAACATGAACTTTTAATCCCCATTGTTACCAGTGTGTTTTTGGTGTGCATATCCAGATTCTCATAGGGCTGATCGAGGAAATCAAACTTGGTGATGGATGGGGTTATTGCAGACAGAGGGTATGGAGGGAACGGGTATGTGAACTCCTAAGATGTCTTGCTATGTGCCAGTGCTATGGGACCTCGGGTCATGGGAATGGTGAGTAACCTCTGTTCTTGTATCCAACAGGGGAGCTGCTGGATGGGCAGAGGGGCTTAGTGCCCTCCAACTTTGTGGATTTTATCCAGGACAATGAGTCCCGCTTGGCTGGTACTCTGGGGAGTGAGCAGGACCAGAACTTTCTCAACCATTCTGGCATCAGCCTGGATCGTGACAGCATCCTTCACCTTCCCTCCCCAACTCATGTGGACTCAGGCATCACTGACAATGGTGAGGGGACTCTGGACATGAACATCGACGACATCGGAGAAGACATTGTGCCTTACCCTAGGAAAATCACCCTTATCAAACAGCTTGCCAAAAGTGTCATCGTGGGCTGGGAGCCCCCCGCTGTGCCGCCTGGCTGGGGCACCGTGAGCAGTTACAACGTGCTGGTCGACAAGGAGACACGCATGAGCCTCCCCCTGGGGAGGAGAACCAAGGCGCTAATCGAGAAACTTAACACATCCGCCTGCACCTACCGCATCTCCGTGCAGTGCGTCACGAGCCGGGGCAACTCGGATGAACTGCAGTGCACGCTGCTGGTGGGCAAGGATGTAGTAGTGGCCCCATCCCAGCTGCGTGTGGACAACATCACACAGATCTCGGCCCAGCTCTCCTGGCTGCCCACCAACAGTAACTACAGCCATGTCATCTTCCTCAATGAGGAGGAACTGGACATCGTGAAGGCAGCCAGGTACAAGTACCAGTTCTTCAACCTCAGGCCTAATATGGCTTACAAGGTGAAGGTCTTGGCCCAGCCCCACCAGATGCCCTGGCAGCTACCGCTGGAGCAGAGGGAGAAGAAGGAGGCCTGTGTGGAGTTCTCCACGCTGCCTGCAGGTGAGCTATGTCCTCATGGGGGTCTATAAGGAAAGGATGCTAGGGCTCACCCTGCATGGGTAGGGAAAGGTAAGAGGAGGTGACCTTAGGAGTCTGTGTTATCCTTGAAGACACCCAAGTCCCTTGGGAAATTCAGAGCATGGATGCCGTTCATGGGTTTAGAGTTGACTCTTGGATAGCATTTGGGGATGGGCCCTTGGCACTTGATCTGTCGGGAGCTGTCCTGTAAAAGACAGGAGGGGAATGAGGCCACCTCTGGGACTGGAAAGCCACACCCTACACCTCATACCTCCTGCAGCAACGCAAGGGGAATCCTGAGTTGAAGAGCCCATGCTTCTGATCCGGTCCCTTCTTTCTTGGTTTTGGTTATAAATAAATCCTTGCCGATGGACCATACAAAAGATGAAGCAGTCTGTTGAAGTGGCCACAGGACAAACCTGTCTCTCTCCTCTGCCTTCTTGGCTGTAACTGGGAGAGAGTGTGCCACCTTTCACCCCCTCCAAGACTCTTGGGGACAGGGCACATCGGGCTTCTGGAGGTCTCCAGACAAGACCATGCGCTCTTGTGTTAGTGAGCTGCTGCCTCAGGCTCCTGGAGTGTTTGTGATATTGGTGGCTGCTGTGTGCATCCTGGTAGGTTTCTGAGGCAAAGGCAGCCCACACAAGTGCAGGGCACACACGTGCATAGATGCACTTGAGGGTGTTTGTATGTCCAAGAGAAGAATAAAAGACTAGATGGTGTCCCGTCAACTAGTTGTGACTGTCTTCAGAAGGAAGACCAGAAAGAAGCCAAAATATGTCATAAAAACTTGGTCCCACCCATGTACAGGTCCCTGGTTAAGGGATGATGTCAAGAAGTGCTCATTGGCCCTGTTACCCTGGACCTGTTTTTGCAACCTGCCTAGGAGGGATGTTCTGGAATTAAGGGTGAAATGAGTACCAATTAAAGGGAATGCTTGGTAAGAGAGGAGAATGTTCCAGTTATCTTCCCATGCAGCTATGAGTCCTTTACTTGCAACAGAGTTCTGATCTAAAAAAGCCTTGCCACTGGTTCATGGTGCCTGCCAATCACCATTGATTGCCTTGTTGCTGGCTTCTGGCTGTGATAAATGAAAACTGCAGAATTGTTTATTGTTGGCCATTGGTTGCAGGAACTCTGTAACTATATGTTCTAGCCACCTTTAACTGTCAACTTGACACAGCCTAGAATCATGTGGGAAGAGAGCCTTGAGGAATTGCTTAGACCAGGCTGGTCTATGGGGGTGTCTGTGGGAGATTGTCTTGGTTGTTAATTGATGTAAGAGGGCCTCACCCACTGTAGGAGGCACCATTCCCTAGGCAGGTAGCCATAGCCTGTGTAGGAGAACTAGATGAGTGTGAGACAAAGAGCCAGCCAGTAATCAATGTTCCCCCATGGCTTCTGCATCAACTTCCTGCTTGAGTTCCTGCCATGAATTCCATCAGTGATGAGATGTGACCTAGAAATATAAGCCAAATAAACCCTTTCCTAACCCAAGTTGTTTTTATTGTCAATGTTTTATCACAACCACAGAAAGGAAACTAGAACACTGCTCTTCACCAGGGTTAGATACTTCCTTTCTCTCCCCAGTGTGCCCAGAGTTCTAGCAAGATTGAATTAAGTTTTCAGTCTTGATAATCTCTCCATCTATCAAGTCATGATTGTTCTTTATTCAGTTAATGTGGTGATTATGCTACTTTTAAATATTAAATAACTTCACACTTCCAGGGTTCCACTTGGTGTTTATGGGTGAATGAGCCTTGTTTTTAAATGGCTTGTTTTATTTTCAATTATGAGTATGTGTGTGTGTGTGTGTGGGGGGTAAACATGTGTGTTTGTATGGGTAACACAAATATTAAAAGTTCTTATTAATAAAAAACCCAGAGCCAGATATTGGGGTGAAAGCTAAAAGATCAGAGGGCTAGAACAAGCCAGCCACAAGATCTTACTGCTAGGAAATCCTCAGCCCAGGAGAGAGCTACTTCCTGTATACTCCCACCTTATATACCTTTCTGTGCCCTGCCATCTTACTTCCTCTCTCCATCCAGCTATATCACTTTCCTCTTTCTGCCCAGTTCTATCACTTCCTGTCTGTCTGTACAGACCTCCAGACCTCTATGGTTAACTAGTACTGGGATTAAAGGCATGTACCACCACGCCTGGCTCTGTTGCCAGTGTGGCCTTGAACTCACAGAGATCCAGATGGATCTCTGCCTCTCGAATGCCAGGATTATAGGTGTGTGCTACCACTGCCTGACTTCTATGTTTAATATAGTGGCTGGCTTTGTCCTCCAATCCCCAGGCAGGCTTTATTTGTTAGAGCACGAGTAAAATATCACCACAGGTGTGTGAGCCATGTGTGTGCAATTATCCAAGGATGCTAGAAGAGGGCATCAGATCTGAGGAAGCCGGTAGTTCAGGTGATTGAGAACCACCTGATGAGATACTGGGGACTGGACCCAGGTCCTCTGGAAGAGCAGCAGGTGCTCTTAACCACTGAGCCATCTCTCCAGCCTCATTGGGGATTTCCCTATCCATGTTCACAAAGGATATTCATGTACAGTTTTCTTGTAATGTCCTTTGGTTTGGGTACCAGGCCTCTGCTGGGGTCATGTGGTGACCATGAGTCACCTGCAAGTGCCTATGCAGTTTTTGTGTGGCATCACCATTATCTCCCGCTAACATTAGATAGATGTAGTGGAAGCCACACAGACCCATTGTTTTCTTCAAAGGACTGTTGCAAGTTTCAGGTTTAAGGGAGTTAAAAGATGCAGGATTATTTAGCTTTTGCATCTTCTCATATGTCAGTTGGGGTTAAGTATATCTTTTTCTTTAAGTTTATGATATAATTACATCATCCCTCCCCTCCCTTTCCTGACTTCAAACCATCCCACATATCCCTCCCTGCTCTTTTTCAAATCCGTAGACTCTATTCTCCATTAATTGCTATTACATGTTACATGTTATACACACACAGAGACATGTATATGCATATATATGTGCATACACACACACACACACATCCTAAATATGACCTGCCCAGTCTGTATAATGTTACTTGTATGTATGTTTTCAGGGCCAACCATTTGGCATTGGATAACCAATTGGTGTGCTCGTCACTGGGGAGACTATTTCTCCCGCTCTCAGTGTTCTTGAGTTACCTGTAGTTCTTTGTGTAGAGTTGAGGCCTGGTGGGCTAAGTGTGGGCATTCAAGGAATTTCCCTCCAGAGTCTCACTCAATAGCACCAGCTGGCCTGGAATTCTTAGGAGATCCCCCACCTCTGCTTCTCCAGTGCTGGGATTAAAGGTGGGCAACACCATGCTCAGCTATATTGTCCTACAACCTTTGGATCCATAGTCATGTCTCCTTTTGAATTCCTGTTGGAAATGTATGCTGTCTCACCTTTGTGATGGGAATTGCAATGTGTTTGTTACGTCATTGGTAGATTCCAAGCTGAAGCTTTTGGCTTGGCTGAGTTCTGTTTTTCATGGCCTTCTATCACATGGTCCTTCTCTTGATTTTGGGCTTTACCTTGCTCTTCTGTTTTGGCTCATGTTTTTGAGATGAGATTGAGATAAATAACTGGAAACTGTTGTTTTCTAATATAAATATTTAGACACACAAACCTGTTTGTTATGTATCCACAACTTTCAACATGTTCTCTTTCACTGTTGTTAAGTGAAACATACCTGTTACCCAGGTAGAATCTTCATAACTCTACTTATGAATAGGCTAGTTAATTTCCAAATATTTGATGGTTAAAAGAGAAAACACGCTACTATTATTGGTTTCCAATTTAATTGTTTCAGGGTTGGGCACAGTTTCTTGTGTGAGTCCTGCGGCAATGAAATCTGCTATATAGATATTGTCTGCCCTGGTCAATATTCCTGGTATATTTCAAAGCAATATGTGTACTGGGCTTCTGGAGAACACTGATCATGGTCACATAAAAGGCCTTTTTCAGTGCTTCATGTTCTCACTGGGTTTTATTTGACTATCAGTTATAGACAGTAATTGTTTTTCACTTTGGTTTTTGCTTTAGGTATTTTGGGGTTTATTTATTAGTTGCATACGTATTTGAAAGTGTGAGGTCGCCCCAATGACATTTTCTCAATAACCCCTCCTGTCTCTGACTGTCTTTAGGTCTATTTTGTCTGATGCTCATGTGGTTATTAGCTTTCTTAAGCTAGAATCTACACATCCTCTTTTCCAACATTTACTTTCAAATTCTCTGAATCCTTATATTTTAAGCCTGTCTCTTATGAGTAACATGCCGTAGGATCTTTGAGTTGGCATTGCCTGATAAACTCTGCTTTTTAACCAGAATGTCTCTCTGTTTTATTTGTCATCATTGATAAGACTTAAGTCCACATTTCTGCTCTTCTGCACCTGTCCTGTCTGCTCTTTACATCGTTGCTAACCTCTTCCTGCTTTCTTTTGAGTTAACTATTTTTTAAAACATGTTTAGTATTTGGTCCTTCATAAATATGCACAATATGTTCTGATCAAATCTACCCCAGCCACGCCCCCCCCACACACACACATACCACAGTGTTTCCAGACACAGGTTGACTATTTTTTATACTTTATTCTCTTTCTACAATTGACTTTTGGAGGGAGGGAATAACACACGATATTACTTTTTAGAGATTAATTTTTATACACATATATACAACATACTATAAATTGCCTTAAATTACAGCATAATTCTTTTTGTCCTCTTTTGATTTTTGTTTCTGTATGCTCTACCTTCACACATGCTGCGTTTAAACGCCTGTTCTATACAGTCTGCAGAATAATCACCAGAGCTGCACGTTCGATTTTGAATGAGTTTGTTAAGTAGATAGCCGGCGGATAGAGAGAAACCCAGACAGGTAGAAATACACCATCAGACTGGACACTTAGAATATCCAGCCAAGAAACCTGGAGAAGCCAGACTGAGGGAAGAAAAAGGTTAAGTTCTTCAAACCAAGGGCTTGCAAGCGTCCAGCAGAAATCAACTGGGGAAACTGAGGCAGCTAGCTAGAGTTCCAGGTTGAGTTTTCTCTCTGTGTTTGAGCCCCACCCCTGGCCTCTCTCTCTCCCCTCAGATGTTTTTATACTGTGGAATAAACAGTATATGTTGCTGGAAATGGCTCATCTTCCACCTGTTCACAAGGCACAGTGCCCTTGATCCCTTGGCTATTTTCAGTTTTTCTCTCTCCTCCCTGTTACAGAGCCAGGGCCAGCCTGATCCACATGGGGGATTTTAAGGTCTTCAGCCAAACATGCTGGGATCCGAGATCGTGGGGGGCAACCCCACTTCCAGAACCAATTTCTTCACTCAGACAGCTCGTGACACTTCACGGCCCCCCAATACATTGCCTCTTCTCTTCATCCAAATGATGCTTTCTTTGAAGGATTTTAGAAAATGTCCTTTTTTATTTCCTAATGTAACTGCCACTGGCATTATACTTTAGTCTCCCTCTCTGCAGCCCAAGTTTCCACCTGTTCTCACCTCCTCTTAACCCCGATGAGTTTCCTTTAGGATTCCTTATGGCTTTTGTTTATGTAAGATAGCTCACTATTTGCTCCCTTGTTCAAATATATTTTCTGATGGAATCAAGTTCTGGGTGATTTGTTTCACCTTCGGGTGACCTGTCATTGTCTCTGTGGAGAGTCAGCTGTCCCTCCTGCCGTCATCTTCAGAGTGCTTCTCAGAGGAGGGCTTTGACCTTTCAAGCTCATTCTGAACACCTCTTCCTTAGACAAAGGTCATACTGAACCACCAGGGAAAAATGGACTCTGATCCAGGCTGAGTTTCCGAGACCTTTGTAACAATAGAATAATATAGACCTGTGCCAGCAGGCCACAGGTACACGCTGGAGTGAAGGATCCAGCTTCTAACACTGAACAGCAGAATGACTCTTCTGAGCCTTAGTTTCTTCATTTACAAAATGATGTTGGAGACATCATTTATAATATCATTATGAAATGATGTGGAGAAGTCCCAGGACGCTGGCGAGGGCCAAGTAATACAAAGCATGCAAAGTGCATAGGATGGCCGGCATGTGGACATTCCCCAATGAGTGGTACCCTCTTCTGGGATGCCTTGGCCAGGTCTGTGACAGAAATGGTTTTCCTCTTGAGCTCATAAGTACATTCCTTCCAAAATAGAGCCATCTGGACTCTCAGTCAAGAAGAGTTGGGAAATTCTACCCCAAGTCTGGAGTAAAATATGTTATATCCCTGGTGTTCTGAGGGAAGATGGACTATACCTTACAGCCACTGGAATGGCTTGGAGACTTGGCCAGTACTTACCTATTACCTGAGTTAGTGGCTGTAGACACATTTTTTTCCCCTTAAGACCCAATGAGCATGGCTCATGTGGTGTCACCAGTCTAGACCCTTGCAATATCTGGGTCAGACTGCACTCTTCTGATGTGAGTTTCCCCAGTTTCATAGAGTGGTCTGATGGGTGGTATGAGGTCAAAGGTTGCTGTCTCTAGAGTTTGATGATGAGGATGAAGAGAGAGTGGGTAACAGCCCGGAGGAGAAGGAGTAAGAGAAGTGTGTCAGAGGTATCTTTCCTCTGGAGCCATCTAAGGCTGCTTGGCTTCCAAGTCCCGTGGCAGAGGGAACTCCATTTAAATGGAGCATAAGAGAAGGCGTCTCAGAGACAAAGTGGGGGCCCCTTCCTGGATGCAGGTGAATAATAAACACCAGGTCTGGGGAGCAGCACAGCATGCCTAGGCATCTAACGGGATGCTTGCCTTCACTATCTACAGCTTCCTGTTAGCGTTCTCTCCCCTGCTTTCCTCTCCGCTCTTCCTTGTCAACCATACAGATGGCTCCATTCCCAGGTGTGACAGAGCAAGTGAAGAACGGCCCAAGGACCATGCTCTGACTGCATCTGTCCCTTCTCTCCTTCCAGGCCCCCCGGCCCCACCACAAGATGTCATCGTCCAAGCTGGGGCCACAGCCGCCACGGTTCAGGTCTCCTGGAGGCCCCCTGCGCTGACTCCCACTGGGCTGTCCAACGGAGCCAACGTCACGGGATACGGCGTGTATGCCAAAGGGCAGAGGGTAAGTGGGCATGGGGTGTGAGGCTGTACCCTGCAGGGGTAGGCTTACGGAGGAAGGAGGGGTCAGATGCCCAGGGGAGGATTTGAGGATCTTCCAGCTCCAAGTCTCCATCACCTTCATGAGATCCCAGCTGGGTCTTCATGCTAGGGTTGTCTGCCACAAGTCAGAGTGAGGAGGTCCCATTCTGTTTTGGTTCCTAGCTGGGTCCAGTGTATTGGTGGCATCATTGAGGCAACTCCATGTAGTTAAAGGGGAGGTTTATTTGGGGGGTTTTACTTACAACAAGGACAAGGGATAGGTTACAGGGTCCGGGAGAAGTGAGGTGCAGTCCAGTGGTGTTCTCCGGAGAACTCGGCTCGGTCTACATCCAACATCCAAAATTACCAGGAACCAAGAGAGCAGGCACATCCGGATCTCGGGTCTTAAGGACTCCTGTCTCGACCCTGCTTCAGGGGCAGGCCATAGGTAGGCGTGACAGTTACTGGAAGCCTCAATGGGGGTAGTACTTCCAGGTCAAAGCTGGAACAGCTACCCACTACATCAGTATCCTTTCTGCCTTCCTGTTCCCTGTTCCACCCAACATTGACACATCACCTCTGAATTCACCAGCATCAGGCTCCCAGGCAGTGACGGGCTTGCCAGTTTTAACAGACTACCTGTTAGAAAGTTAAGACCCACCTAGGCAATCTTCCATTTGCAGGTGACCAGACCTGGACTCTGAGAAATATCTGTCTCTCTGGTGTCCCCGAGTGGAAAATCCACCATCTTAGCCTGCTGCCATTTCTGCACATGAAGCAGAGATCCTACCCCGAGGAAGCCTTTAGAAAGCTTCTGTTTAGCTGTTCACTGTTGTCTTAGTCAGGGTTCTTTATCACCGTGAAGGGACACCAGGACCACAGCAACTCTTATAAAGGAAAACATCTCACTGGGGCTGGCTTACAGTTCAGAGGTTTGGTCCATTATCCCGCCATCATGTCGGGAAGCATGGTGGCACATAGGCAGACATGGTGCTGGAGAGGTAGCTGAGAGTTCTACATCAGGATCAACAGGAAGCGGGGAGGGGGAGAGAGAGAGAGAGAGAGAGAGAGAGAGAGAGAGAGAGAGAGAGAGAGAGAGAGTTGAGCATCTGAAACCCCCAAAACCCACCCTTAGTGACACACTTCCTCTAATAGGGCCACACCTTCTAATAGTGGCACTCCCTGGTGACCAAGCATTCAAAAAATGAGCCTATGGGGGGCATTCCTATTCAAGCCACCACAACTGCTGCCACCCCATTCTTCCCTCTGGTGACAGATTGGGCTGCTGGACTTGGGTGTGAGGTCCCCAGCCATTTCTCCCATGATTCACCTCTCGCAGGCTGCGGGCTTTCCCAGCGCAGGCTCCATGGTCTCTAAGGGCAGGTTTCACACACATCCAGGAAGTCTACTTGCTCTACCCCCTCCTCCCCTCCCTCCAGCTGTGGTCCTAAGCCAGCTCACCTTCAGATTCCTGTGGAACCCTGAATCTGATCTAGAGATGGAGGAAGAAGGCTATGCTTTGTTGCCCTCACAGCTACCTGAGTCCTGGGCTCCCGGAGACTCCTGCTTAGGTAGCTCTGTGAGTGACTTGAGCCAGATGCTGGGCTTTTCCTGCCAGGCGTCTGGCTCCAGCAGAGGCCACTGCTGGGTCACCACGTGCTGACAGCCTGTGACATGTCTTTCTCTGTGTGCAGGTGGCTGAGGTCATCGCTCCCACAGCAGACGGCACGGCGGTGGAGCTGGTCCGGCTGCGAAGCCTGGAGGCCAAGGCCGTGAGTGTGCGCACCCTGTCTGCGCAGGGGGAGTCCATGGATTCTGCCCTCGCTGCCATCCCCCCTGACCTCCTGGTGCCTCCAGCCCCCCACCCGAGGACTGCTCCCCCACCAAAGCCATTAGCAAGCGACCTGGATACCAAAGACCAACACCTGGGTCCCCACGTCAAAGTGGACGAGTCCTGGGAGCAGAGTCGGCCACCCGGCCCTGCACATGGCCACATGTTGGAACCACCTGACATGCATAGCTCTGGCCCCGGCAGAAGGTCACCCTCACCCAGCCGGATCCTCCCTCAGCCACAAGGAGCCCCCGTGTCCACCACCGTCGCCAAGGCCATGGCCCGGGAGGCTGCCCAGAGGGTGGCCGAAAGTAGCAGGGTACGTTGTGTCTTCCTAGCAGGTGGGTCCCTGTACTCTTGGGGTGGGGTATGACCTGTCCCTGTGCCTGGCCAATAGAGGCAGATCCACCAGAGAGTACTCCAGACCCCAGCCTAGGACTGTTATTCTGAACTGGGCAAGACCTGTTCTTTCATTACAACATCCCAGTCTGAGTATATATGTTGGGGATAGGGGTTTTTGTTACTATGGAGATTAAGTCAGGTTAGGACACACTCTCAAAGGGAGCAATGAGATATGCACTACTAAAGTTGCCTATTGGGGTACCCCTCCCCACCAGGCCTGGGAAGTAAGACCCAGGACTGAACTGGCCTACGACCTTCCCATCTCTCCCACATGTCCCCCTACCAGATGCCCAGATGTTTGGGGCAAGCTTGAGTTTCTCCACCAAGGAGGCAGAGGGACGCACTGGCAGGACCCTCTTAGTGTCAGGTAGCTCTGTGGGTCTCACCAGGATAGTGACCCCTGGGAATGTCTGCCAAGGCTGGGGGCACCCTCCTCCTGGGGCCCAGGTCAGGAGAGTGAGGATACGTGGCCAAGGGTCAGCACTGGAGTTGCAGGTGCCTGGGAGGATGCTTCTACCATATGTTCAGCCCCGTGTCGCTCCACGAGAGAGCACCCCTGACCCCAGGGCCCCAGAACCTTTTAGGAAACTAGAACATCAGATTGTCCATGACATCTGGTTTGTTCAACAGTGGCCACCGATACTTACAGCACATACTCATGAACTTGAGGCCTCTGCTTGAAGGGTACTCTGAGGCTCAAGGAGGCTGCAGCCAGGCCTGCATTGGAATCACTGAGGGATGCTTATGGTTGAGAGATGCTTTGGGGGCAGAGGATCCCGGCACAGCTTCAGAGTGGATCCTGGAGAGCCCAGTGGCTGTTAGGTTAGGCTGGGCCAGAGACCCTTCCTGGGTTCCTGCTTCAATGCCATGATCACTGAGCAAATTAAAGTCAGGCGAGGCAAGCAATGGAGGAAGAAGTTTCCCACTGAGGCCCGTGGTTCCCTCCAGTGAAGCTCAGGGTGATTCAGACCTCATAGAGAGGAGAGGTGAGGGGAAGAGCTGGTCCTGGGAGCCTGGACCTCAAGGGAACCTGGACCTCAAGGGAGCCACCTTCCAGCAGCAGCCTAGAGTCACAGTCTTAAGGGGTCACGGCCCAGCATATTTCATGCATCTGCCCTGGGGGAGGTTGCAGGGCTCCGTGTGTGAGAGGCCTCTCCGGGGTACCCCTGGGAATCTCCTTGCCCTTCTCAGTACTTGAAGCTGGGAATAACAACAGTGTGTGCTCCTGGGGTCCTCTCCAGTCCTTCCCTACATGCCTGCTCATCTTGGTCCTTTTCTCTTCCCAAGTTAGAGAAAAGGAGCCTCTTTCTGGAGCGGAGCAGTGCTGGGCAATATACCAACTCAGACGAGGAGGATGGCTACGCCTCCCCTGAGGTCAAGAGGAGGGGCACCTCTGTGGATGACTTCCTGAAAGGGTCGGAGCTGGGCAAGCAGGTGAGCGCGTGTACCCCTGCATCAGCCCTCGGCTGCCAGGGGCTTTAACTGGATGCATAGGAGTTTGGAGTTATGAAGACATTGCCCTAACCTGCCTTGGGTGTGTGCCATGTGGTCATATATGCGTGTGTGTGCTCACACACCAGAGTGTTTATGTACGCACATGAATTTGTGTATGCCCTTGTATCTATTTGATATGTGCATGTGTGTGTATGTGTGTGCCTGTATATAAGTGTATGGTGTGTGTATATGTTCCTGTTTGTGTATGTGCATGCCTCTGTGTGTACCTGTGTACATGAATATGTATATGTATGTGTTCTCATGTGTGGACATGTGAAAATGTGTTCCTCTGTGTCTACGTGGGTGCACATGTGTGTGTGTGTTTTATGCATGTTTGTATATGCGTGTCTACTTGTCTGATATGAATGTGCCTAAGTATGTTTATTCATGTGCTCATATATGGTATCTGGGCACATGTGCTCATATGTGAGTACATGTGACTGAATTCCTATGATCATTGTGTACATGTTTATGTGCACTTGTGTATAGAGATGTGTGTGCATGTGTGAATGGACATGTATATGGATGTCAGCATGTGTTCCTATGCATCTATGTGTCTCTGTATGAGTAAGTGTATTGTGATGAGTGTGCATGTAAGCATGTTCCTATGTGTAGTTTTGGTGCCTGTCCTGGATCTCACTCTGTAGCCCAGGCTGGCCTCAAACTCACAGAGATCCACCTGGCTCTGCCTCCTAAGTGCTGGGATTAAAGGCGTGCACCACCACCACCGGCCCTATGTGTGTTCTTATATGTGGACATATATATGCACATGAGCATGTATCTGTGTGTGCCTGTACATACATATGCACATTTGTTTGCTTTATGACAGTTCTTTTAAAAGCCTCGGTGTACCACGTGTGACCACTTGCCCTGCCATGTCCTCTTGTGTGACACTGTACACAGGAGTGCCCTAGACCTCAGCCATCTGAACTGGCGATGTTGGGCTTGAGCCTTTGTTCAGCTGGTGATGTGCAGATGTGACAGGTTGGAAGTTGAGCATCATATGATGTGATGGATCAACACTGCTTGCTCTGTCTCCTCCAGAGTCCAGGATCCTTGTGCCTGTCAGAGTGGGGTGACCCGTGCTGCCCCGCTCTGCAGCTTAGGCAAAATTGTATCTATCTGGCTTTGTTTGCATACGCTGTGCCCACATGGGCTGGTTACATGGGTTCTGCAAGTTGGCAAATACGACGAGTCCAGGACTCAGAGAGGGGTAGCCTGGGAGCCTGTGGCATGTGCAAGATGTCCTATCAAGAGCTGGAGAGATAGCTCAGTGGTTAAGGATAGCTCTTTCAGAGGACCCAGGTTGGATTCCCAGCACCTACATGGTGGCTCACGATTGTCCGTAACTCCAGTTCCAGGGGAGCCAATGCCTTCTTCTGACCTCCACAGGCACTAGGCACACATGTAGCGTCCAGACATACATGCAGGCAAAAGCGCCCACTACACATAAAAATAAAAATAAATACATCGAAAAAAAAAAAAAGAAGTCCCATCTATGTTCCTCTTTGACCACAGCCGCACTGTTGCCATGGAGATGATTACCACACAGAGAGCAGCCGGGGGTCAGACCTGTCGGACATCATGGAGGAGGATGAGGAGGAGCTGTACTCAGAGATGCAGCTGGAGGATGGGGGCCGGCGCCGGCCCAGTGGTACCTCTCACAACGCCCTCAAGGTGAGCCCTGAGCTCATGACCGGGTGCCCCGAATCTGGGGGATGCTCCCTTCCGCCCCTTTGCTGGGATTGTTTCACGAGGGCATTCAGGAGTTACATGCTGCTCCTGTCTGCCTTGCCAAGAGGGCTGGGTACTCGGGGGGATCCCCTTGGAACCCCTGGACACAGCCGCACTGCAGTGGGAATAGAATTATAAGCAACAAAACTAGCCTCAGCCTTACATGCTCATATAGAAGGTGCAGCTTCTGGGTTAGGACTGAACCAGCAGTTTGGAGCTGGGCCACACATTCCTGTGTAAGAGGAGGAATCCATGGTGGGCTAGAACCATGCAGCGGAGGCCAGAGGAGGCCTAGGACAGCACACTCCTGGGTCCATCACCGGAGCCCCATACCAGGAAAGAGTCCATACCATCTACCACTGGAGATCTGCAATGAAAGGGTGGCTACTTCATGAGAAGGTGGTTGGGGGTAGGGTGAAGCCTGCAGGGCTTATTTCTGCAGGCAGGCATCATCTTGCACTGTGGTGGGCAGACGATAACATATATTACTGAGGTCTGTTCAGAGCCTCTATGGGGATCCTATGGATGTTTTCCCCATAAAAGTCCTTGCAGGGGCTTTGGGGACCTCCATGTGGTCCTGCATGGTGAAGCTCACTCCATTCCCTGTGCCCCTCCCCCAGTGGGTCCCACACCGACCTCTTCTGAACCGGAGACTCCTACCTGCCCCAGGCCATGTTCCAGAGCAAGAGTCACCTTGGAAGGGTTCACGGGTGGGTCAGGGAAAGGCATACACCTGTGCCTTGCACCTTCCAGACACTTCTCTGGACAGGGGAAGATATTTAGAAGCTGCCTCTCAGGAACTGCTTAACAAAGGAAGGGCCAGCGAGGGTGTTGCGAAGCAGGAGGGGTAGTCCATGTAGCTCCCACCCTCTTACAAACAGCCCAGCAGTGCCCTAGAGGAAGTGGGATCAGGGTAGCCACAGGTGTATGCCGCTCACCCACCAGGCTTCTTATGGGTGTGGGTTTCAAGATTCTCCTAATAAACTGCCAGGGGCATTTGGGAGCTGTGGCCACAGTAGACCCATAGTCCCATATTACAGTGACTGGCTAAGCCAAGCCAGGTTTTCCTGGAGGGACCAGGGCATATGACTCTTCATCTCCAGCTGGCCCAGCTCACCTGCCTACCCTGTATTACCCTCTTTTTCAGCTATCGTCCTTCACTTTCCTAGTGCTCACCACCCCTGAGCCAAACAGCCTTGAATGTGGCGTGATAAAGGAGAAAGATCCAGGAGTTAGTAGATCCGCTGCCCACCCACTCGTGGGCAGTGTCAGGTGCATACAGTAGACGGTACTAGGAGGAAACAACCTTCCCACGTGGTCCGAGGTGTCCACAGACCGGCGAGGGCAGTCATCACGAGCACCCATCATAAGATGTACCCCCCAGATCTCAGCAGGGGATGAGAGCAGCTTTCCTCGAATTAGTCAGATCTTCCCCAAAGGAGAGTATAGAGCAGGCAGGGGTTGGCACCAAGAGACGGCTTCTCGGAAAGAGACAGAGGCTGATGGCTGGAGCTGGCAGGGAATGGTGCACATGGAGACGTTGGCTAAAGCCGGAACGCAGGAGAGTTGGCGTAGTCACCTCAAGAGTGGTTAGCTCTGGGCCAGGTACTAAGACCAGATGGGCCAGATGTGATAGATAAATAAATAAATAAACCTCAGGTGCAGAGGCAGAGGATCTTGGTCCTTTGTAGGTACCAAGTAGGCACTGGGTCTGTTAAGGCAACGTTCATCAGAACATAGGTGTGCTCTAAAGGAATCTGGCTACTGCTTTAGCTAAGGGAAAAGTGGATGGCTGGGGTGCCAATGCTTGGAAGGAAGCAGTCCACAGGGCTGGACAGGGACACGGTGGGGTCACCTCCAGCTACGCTGGGCATTCAGCGGCAACTGTCCCCAGGCTGCAGGGAATCAGCCACAGTGGCAGACAAATTCCCCCACTACTCTGGGTAACTCATCAGCATAGGAGCAGCCAAGGGCCTGGGAGCATTGTGCCCTCCCGTCCGGGCCACCCTTTGTCCCTCTGGCTCACCCGCATGGCGTCTGCTCCTGACGTCCGTCCGTCCGTCCGTCCGGCTGGCTCTTCCGTGTGCTGCCCCTCCCCTCCTGCTCGGCACCCACCACGTGGCCCCTTTGCTCCATCCCAGAGCCCCCAGCAGGCACGGCGCAGGTTCCCCCTCCACCCCGTGAGCAAAGGCTGCCTCATGCTGCCCCCCCTGCCTCCCTGCCGAGACTAATTCTGTGTGTGTTTTCTCTTCTTCCTCCACCGCCTCATGTCTGGTCATACACCGCTCCCTCACACATGCTGTCCCCAAGGAATGCCATAAGGCTAGGAGCTTTGAAGGCGCTTTCCTGGAGCAGCCCGAGTTCCCCCATCAGCCCCACCGCAGTAAGAGACTGTTCAGTATCCCCGAGGTAGCTGAGGAGGACACGGAGCTTGGCGAGCCGCTGCTCAGGCAGGGCATGGGGTCCTCCAGAGCCAGGGCCTTGTTGGCCATGCAGCGTGGGCCAGCGCGGTCCTGTTGGGGACATCCAGTCCTACAGGGATCCTGGCTCCCTGCAGAGCACAGGGGCCCGGGCATCCATATGGAGGATCTCTTTCTGGAAGACAGAGGTTGTCGGTTCAGCCGCTCGGCCACCAGGAGCCCGGACAGTGGTTTGGACTGTGGCAGTGAGGAGGAAGAGTCTCGATTTAGTTTCAGGAGCACCTCCACCAAATGCAGTCCAGGCCCTGGTCACTGTCCCTGTAGGAGATGCCCGAGGCCCCTACTGGCCCGGAGGCGGACGCTGACCCGACAGAGCAGCATCGAAGAGGACTTTGGGGAGCAGGTGGACCCCAGTGACGTCATCAGGAGCGATGACCCCCAGCTCAGCCCGGAGAGGCCCGTGCCCAGGAGGGATGGCTGGGACGAGGCCAGCGACCACGAAGATTTTCGGGGTGTCTGGAGGAAAAGCCCAGCCATGCCCGACAGTAGGGCAGCTGAGCGGCTCGCACAGCCTCCTCCCCGAGTGGCAGACGGCCCTTTGGTGTGTCAAGTATCCACCCTCCCCTGCGCGCGCGCTTGCCAAACCAATCCGAGCTCATTCTTTTGTTGGTTTTGCCTTTGGTTCGGGTTGCGGAGTGCATCCGGGGACTCTCTGGGCCGCTCTTCTCTTTGGTTCTCCCTGCATTTTTTTTTTTTTTTTATTTCTTCAGTCCCCATTTGCTTCCCAGTTGCTTGACCATCCTGAAGGTTTTCTTGCTTTGGAGTTAACAATCGCCCCCACAGAATCAGCGATGGGTACGGCTGCTTTACTTAAAGGACAACTGAATCTAAGTTTTAATTAAGGGTTAGCTGAACTGCTGAATATCTAGAACTCGGGAAACACACATCCCTCCCCCCCACCCCCTCTACACACACACACACAAAATGATGCTTAGGCATTCAAGGAGGACGCTGGTATGATCAAAGGCTTTTTTTTTTTTTTTTTTTTTTGTCCTTGTTGTTTTGGCTTTTTAAGTTTTTCTTTTTCCTTTTGGCTTTCATCTATAACTGTCTAAAAATATGGAGAATAACCAGGGAAGAAACTCATTTTTTTTATAAATTGTTTCCAAGGTCTTACTCACCCCCCCCCCCCAGTCTTTTTTTCCCCTCTGTGTCTACCACACAGCAAGGGTTCATCCAAAGCTTCATACATCTCTATAATTGTATCCTTTCTACAACGTCTGCCCCCCCCCCCCCCCCCGCTGTGCTCGGCTGTCCTTGGGCACACAGGTGGGCCACCAGCGCGGCCGCAAGCCTCCTTCTGAGCTGTGCACTCTGTGATGTGTCCACGCCCGGCGCCTGCACCCCATGGTGCCCGCCCAGTCTCACCCCATGGCTATCGGCTCAGACACCTTGGCTCCTGTGTCCTGGGAATGGCCTCCACCAGCCTGGTTCCTTGTGATCTGCTTCCTTTCAGTCAGTTCTGACTGCTAGTCCAAATGAGAGGTAGACGTCTCTAGACAGGAGGTCTGTTCAGGCCCAGGTTAAGCACGATCAAAGCTGAGAGCATGTAGACACTGCCCTCTGAGTGTCTGGAACCCACCACACCCCTTCTGTCTGTGATGGACTTTGGGAACTATGGCAGTGGATCTCCGCTAGTGTGACATTTGGGGGTGGGATAACAAAACCAGAAGACTTCTCTGCAATGGCGCCTAAACTGCACATCATAGTCAGTTTGCTTCAGAAGATTTACCTTCAGGAGCAATAACATCTACCAAAAGCTTCCTCCTATGACTCATTTTTACTACCAGCCCCACTGCGGTGTGTCCAGAAGGGACCCTGATGTAAAAGGCAGGGTCCTGGGCGCAGTTGGCTTCTCCCCAGGGTCACTCAGCTAACCTTTCAGTTAAAAGCTACGTTTAGTTGCCTTTAGTGCTTTTGCTTCCAATCCGGATTGATTTGGCTTTAACTCCTCCTTTCCTTTCCAAGGCCAGCCAGACCTAACCACGGTTTTTTTTTGGGTCTAGATTTTAGGAAACTCTGCTTTGATGGGGCGAGGAGACCGGATGGATCACGTGAGCCGAAGGTATCCTCACGGTGGCGGAGGTCCTCAGAGGCACCGGCCGACAATGGCTCCATCCATTGGTTAGTGGCCTGATCGGTATCATTCACTTTCTGTCCACCACCTGAATTAAAAACAATGCAGGGGTCACGCATGAGGACTTTGGTCCCCGTGACAAATGTCTGAAGAGATAAAGGACAACGGGACTCACATGTCAGGGTTCGATCTATCATGGCAGGGACAGTGCCGGAGGATAGCCACCATTGTGTGTGTGTGCACGTGCGTGTGCGTGTGCGTGTGCGTGTGTGTGTGTGTGGTGTGTGTGTGTGTGTTTTGGAGACCCAGAGAGAGTGGGGAGAGGAGGAGAGAGAGAGAGAGAGAGAGAGAGAGAGAGAGAGAGAGAGAGAGAGAGAGAGAGAGGACAAAATACTGCATTTCCTGGCTTTATCCTTCCTGCTCCTACTCCATCAACCCTAGCCCCTGGGATGGTGCCTCCCAGATTCCCACATGGAGGACACAGTTCTTCCTTCCTGCTAAATCCTGTCTGGGTCCATACTCAGACATACCCAAGAGATGTGCTTTAGGGATTTTCTGAAGGGAGGGAGGGAGGGAGAGAGAGAGAAAGAGAGAGTTGATTATATACCCCAAATATTCCACACGAGCTCCAGGTAAGTTGAGTCATCTGCGTGCATAGGCCACATTGGTGCAGGTCTTGGGAACACTTGGAAGCTGGAAGTGTCCCCAAGATAAGTGCCCCATCCACCGCTACCCCCCGCGCCTCACCATCCGTCCCAGTTCCATTACCTCCACCCACTGCAGGACAGCTGGGCTTCCTTCTCTCACAGACCATTCGGGATTCTGCCAGTGGTGCCCAAAGCTGTAATTTGGTGATTGTCACCAACTCATGCTAAGGGTGGCTGCAGGTCGGGGCCAACAGCTGCCCCTGGCATGGAATCATGCGGACAGGAGTTCTAAGAAGTGGTGTTCATGAGGCAACAGGGAAGGGGAGGAGCCAAATAAACCAGGCTTTTGTGAATACACCACACACACACACACACATACACACACACACACACACACACACACACATATACACACACATACACACACACATATACACACACATAC